AGCATAGATGTCATTATAATTTCAATATATGTACTTTCCACATGGCACTAACAATGCAAAGTCATTACCAGCACTGTGAAGTATGCAATCAAAGCTGGAATTTACATGAGCTGAGACGAAGAAATTAGACAGGACATGCGGGATCCCGTTTCATTACTGTATGCATTTATGGCAGTCACTTTACGAGTATTCAGCCAACAACAAAATATTACTTTTAATTAGATGTTCAACGGGATCCCGAAGTCACATTTCCGAAATCCCGAATTTTCGGGAACCACTTTCACGATTGTTCAAAAACATACAATTATTCGTATACACCGTAGTGCTGTGCGCAATCAAAGTACAGGTTTACTTTCATACCTCTTGTTTACATTGAATACAGTCGAACCCTGCTGATGGCGACGTTAAACTGTTTCTGAATGATGAGCACATTGATGAAGTCGCTTGAATGTGCCAAAAATGTCAGCATCAACAAGAGGCGCATGATATGCCTATATGGCGTAGCACATAACTGTTTTACAATTGCCACAAAGAAGTGTAAGCATAGAAGCTTGTTTTGGTCAATACATAAAACTATAACGGCACCTATATATATACCATACATACATACATTCTTGTGGATATACTTGTAGATATATTAAGGTGTGCCAGACAGTAAAATAAAAACAATTTGAGTATCAAATGGAAAGCGTTTTTGAAATATTTTATTTCGTAAAACATATTTCGGAAAAACAGTGTTGCCATCTATATAAAATAAATTATATATAAAATATTATTATATAATTTCCGTGGTATTTGAGGTAACCTTTTGAAAAGTATATAAATAAAATATAAAAAAATATTGTTTCAAAGTAGTTATAATTTGCAGTTGAAAAAGGCTGCCACCTGATATAAAATGAAAAACTTAGCAAAATATAAAGAAAATATTTTGAGAATATAGGATGTCTATAAAGTCTTTAGGAAAGTAAGTACTTACTTAGGTTAAATAATTCTACCAACTATTGTTAAAAAAATTGGGAACGGTGTTGCCACTGAATTTACGAAGAAAATAAATAAACAGAAAATATTATTAAGTGTATGATATTTAAAACAAACTCATTAGTTAGTATTTTAGAAATATTTTAATTTTGAAATTGTATGAAACAGAGTTGCCACCTAGCTTAAAAGTAATAATTTGTTAACTTTTTTAAATGTGTTATGTCGTTTAAGACACCTTGTAAAAAACATGCGACAAGTCAAATTTTTAATTTCAAGCTATAATTTTGTTAGTGTTGCCACCTATGGTAGAAAACAATTTCAGAAAATTTAGAATAGTGCGAACTAATAAGCCTTTAGGAAAGCTTAAGCCTTGCGTGAGCTAAAATTTTGGCATGGTTCGAAACAGCGTTGCCATCTATGTAAAAAGTTTGTTGAAATAGTTATTTTTTCGAACTTAACTGCTATATTTAGTATATAAAGGTAACACCTTAATATACCCACATAGCATACAAGTTTACAACATCTCTATTTAGGGATACATACATATGTATATGGCCTTCCAGGCAGCCCATACACTCTTGCGGTTATGCTGACATGATTGGAAATTTCGTTTATTGGATGTAGGCGAGAACAATCGCAAGCATTGGCAACAATGTGAGTTGTTAAGTAAAGATACAATGATTTCAACACATATTGTATACAGCAGGGCTGCAGCGTTGTCTCGAACGAAAATGTGACTAGCACGCCTGTGTTTGAAGTTTGAGTCGCAAAGATATTTGCATTATTCTTCTCGCACTCCAACCGTTTCCAGTTCATGTAAGCCTTTTGAGAAGATCAATTGGAACCAGTTATTTATCTCCAACTATAGTTAACGATGTTCGTTTGAAGTTTTTTAATAACGAAGTACACCGAAACAGATGAATTGCGAACTAGTTCTTGTACTTGCATCCAAGTGGGAGTAATACTAGTGTACTTCCAAAATAGCCTGCCTCGAGAATTTTGTGCTCCACACATATATACATACATGCGTACGCATAGTTCGGACAAGTTGAGTTCTGTAAATAAAGTTGACAAAATTGCTGCCTATTCGAAATAAAGTGTAACCACTTTTCCAACCACTTTGTGGCAAGTCGAGCATACATACACACAGCGTTGCATATGCAAGTGTTTCAAGTGCTCAACACTTCGAAGTCGAGCAAACTCTTTTTTTATAATTTTGCTATTTCTAAGCTTGATTAAGTATTTTGCCGAGCAAACTCTATATTTACAACACGAAGCTTGATTGCCACATATGAATACAAGTATGTCAGTACGCGTGAGGGTGCGTGTGTGTTACTTTATGGTCACTTGGAAACCACAAATCCTGATTAAGTCGATTCATGCGTTTACACAAACACAAAATATGGGTGTTATGTCATGTTTTTCGATGCAAAAGTAGAGTATCATCTTAAGTGATGCTACGTGTCGTGTTTTATGAATATTTTACCTTTTTATTTTAGCCTTCGAAGTGCTGCCAAAGTTTGTATGGAAATAATCGACGAACTCATGTGGGCGTGTTTATCTTATATATAATATATAAAAAATGCCATTAAAGGGTGAAGAGGGTTAATTCTATGGATTACAATGAGATAAAGTTTTGCTTTTTGTATATGTAGCAACAACCCTTGTTCGAGATTGAGTCGCTGGTGGAAGTAGTCCATATACATATGTCAGCGGGTGTCTGGCCAAGCCAAGCGGTGTAAACAAAGATCTATTTTCTAAGTTCTAAGTTTTTAAATCTTCGAAGTTTCATAAGGTGCATTATGGAGTCACTTAAAGTCGTTTTGGATAAGAAATTTCACTGCCCATTATTATCATTCGTAAATATAGTTATTTGTATTACTAGCTTCGTTGAGATGAAGACCCATGGGCTTACGTGCTTCAAAAGCTGTACTAACCCGATTAAGACTGGACTCAGCAAAAATTTATAATGAAACCGTAGAGGCAATTAATATAGCGGCAACGCTAGAAAAAACAAATCAATTGCTTGGCAAAGATAAAAAATTATATAACGACATTATCTGTAATTTTTAGAAGAAGATTCAGAAAATTAATAGAGTTTTTAATGTTTAAAAATTGTATTAGAAGTTATTGGTATTTACATTATTTATCTAGATTTTGATCGGTCAGTTTACAAGGCATCTATATGTTATAGTAGTCATATCTGTACAATATTTTCAGGGGTGTGGCAATATTTGCGGCAATAATCTATGCCGAATTTCGTCACAATACCTTGTCAAATAAAAAATTTGTCCGTACAACGACTTGATTTCGATCGTTCGGTTCGTATGGCAGCTATATGCTTTAGTAGTCTGATCTAAAAATTTTTTTTTGGAAATTGTAGCGAAAATTGTCCATACAATGATTTCGATCGTTTAGATTGTATGATAGCTATACGCTATATAGTTCTTCAGCTTCTTGGTGAGATAAGGATGTGTGCACAACTTCAGGTCGATATCTCGGAAACCGAGGGATTAGTTCGCGTTTATACAGACGTACATGACTCGACTCAGAGTATAAAAAAGTTGACGAGTTGAGCTTAGGAGTTAGCTTATATGAGTCAGCTTAAAGTCACATAGAGAAATCAATAAACATGCGGTTTAAGTAATAAGATAACATCTTAAGCATCCCAAACAAATAGAGAATTACTGTGTAACTTTCTTAGCGCTCCATTCATACATTATAGGCAGACTTACAACACTTCCTGCGCTTTGACGAACAGAAACCGTTCAGCAGTAAGTGGGTCATGTGAAACTATGAGCGCGCCGTTGCCAAATCACGGCGAAACAAATCACATTTAATAGGATTTACAACTTCACACAATCTGTGAAGGCATAAATTCTCGCGAACAAACAAAATAGCGGCGGCGTCTTGCAAGCGCTTTAACGCCTGGCACATAATACATTTGCCGCGTCTTCATGCATTCCATATAACCATGTCTTTACGCGTATGTGTGTGCGCAGCCACTTATGCGCTCGGCCGTAAAATATTCAAAGAATATGCTAAAAAGCGCTCGCAAATTGCAGCGCCTGACCGCGCGGCACAGCCGCCTGCTCGAATCGCGAAAAAAATGTGTGCACATCGACTGCCTCCCGATTTCTGGAGTATTTGCATTGCCAGCGAATTTACATTCGGCCGCATATCTAGTGAAGCAAACGTGAAGTAAACGCTGCAGCTGCTGTATGCGCCGTCGATTACGGTTGGTTGGCAACGAGTGAAAGTTATAGGCGCAGCAGCGTGGCGCAGAAGAGATACGTAATTGGAAAAAAAAAATGCTGTCTGCCCAACCAAGCAGCAACGCGCGCCAAATCAAAGGCGCAGCCAACCAGGCAGCAATGGAAGAACATACGAACGAGCCTACACCAGCGCTGCGCTCAAAGTGAAGACTTACTCAGAAATCAGGCTGCACGCAGAATTATTGGCGCGCCTATAAGTATGCTATGTGCTTATGCTTAAAAAGTGAGCGTCAACACTTACACTAGATATTGTGCATGTGGTGGTGGGGGAAGTGCGGTTGTTGTTGTTGGCTTCACTGCCATCACAGCTGTATTTGGCACGCAAGCAAGTTGTGTATGACCGTCATCTCATCTCATCTCATCTCATCTCATCTCATCTCATCTCATCTCGTCTCATCCTCTATCTTCCCCTACCAGCACGACCCATTTCATTTATTCCTATCTAGTCTCATCTCCGATGTCATCTCATCTTACCCAAGCCAAATAACTCAGCTTATTTGGTCATCGAATCTGTTCTCTTAACCTCACCCATATCATTTAATCTTATCTGATATCAATTTCTTTACTCCCATCTCACTCTATCTCTTAACATATCATGCCATCTTATTTTGTCACCTCTATTTTCAGCTTATGGTCCGCCATCTCATTTCAAATCATTAAAATTCAGGGTTAATTGTTTCCAGCTAAATGCAGAATTAAAATCGCATAAACAATAAAATGCGCGCTTAATTGTTATCTGTGTGAATATATGGTATTTATATATTTATTGTGTGTTTAATTTAATTACAGTTTAAGTATAATTTTATATCCAGTGAATTCGTGTTCAGCTACTGCCACGATGAACGTCGATAATTATGTCTGTAACCTACAAATGAACATATGAGAGCTCATATGAGCGCATATACGAGTATGAGAAAAAATAAAACTCACATAGATTTACCGCAAAAGTGCCGTTTTAAAGTATCACTACGCATAAATTATAGAAAGTTATTATATAACCTCTAATTTTGATATTGTAAATAGACATACCTCGCCTCCAATGAGCCTGGCTTTAAAGCGACATTTTTGTTGGTAAATATTTGTTACAGAAGATTTTCTGAATGCGAGGTTGTATAGTTGCTATTGCACCATGATTCCTTACAATTTTTTTTATGCTTACGTCGCTACTGGATTCTTATAGTTTTCTGGTGCTTGCACAATTTTATTAGCGTTAATGTGTAGACAAAGTCGAGCTTCTAACACTTTCCATTTCATATTCCCCAATTAAAAGTTTCTCCTCCGTTGCGTCGGATGGAACGTGAGACAAACCACAGTTTTACAACCAATATCTTCATTTCGTTGCCCCACATCGTTACATGTACATTCGCTTGCATTGCATCGATTGCAACGATTGCCACGCGTAGTGGTGCTACAACAATCCATATTAGACGACGGCATTTCCGAAACATTTGAATATTCTGAAAGTATTTCCGAAATATCTGGAAAACACTCCGACTGCGTTTGTTGTGGATATTGATATGAGAGATTTACGGTATTACTACAGCATTCCGGTTTTGTTTTCCTACGCGCGCAACCTCGCGGTCTTTCGCATGGTTGACTCGTGGGATATCGTTGGCGCTGCGAATTGCGATCGCAAGACCTACTCGATCCATGACTTCTACTTCGTCGACTACTTCTACATCCCATTACTCAATTTAGCAGGCGCATTCGGAAGTTTTTGCTGTTTTAAGGCGAAATTACGGAAAGACGTGAAATTTTTTTCAAACAAATAAAATTTTGAAGCTTATTATTATTGTATACAAAAAATATGTTAAGCAACGAAAAGAAAACAAATAAGTGAAAATTTAAACATAAAAACTCAGAGACACTCTATTGCTTTTGTTTTGTTTCAATGCTGTCAAAAAACAAATTCACCACAGTGTCGAAAGAAAACAAAGTTCATTTTCCTAAGATATTTAACCCTATACTGACCGGTTAAAAAATTGCTATTGTTTTTACATTGAAAAAAGGAACTAAATATAATTTCTTAAATTAATAATACATAATTTCTGAATTTCAGAATACTCTGAAAGCCTTATACTTGTACTTCTTAAAATTTTTTTATATAATAATGGGATACAAAATATTTGAAAAGATCAAATTTATATTTGAATGAATTTGCCATGCACATAACATTTTTAAACAATTTCTGACTATTTTAATAATATATTTAAAGATGAAAAATATGTAGTGTTGCCAGCTTAGTCCAAATTAGAAAACTGTATTGTATCATATATGTATATATAAAACAGTACATTATTTGCTCGGAAGTATTTTTAGTAGCAGTTTCCAGAAAAACAATATTTTTTGCGAAGTGGTTGTCAAATTACTGAAAACCGGTATTTAAAAAATCAATTTAAAACAGAGTTTCCTCAAATAACATCTTTAAAAAAGTAATCAAAAACCCCAAACATAGATAACTTGACCTGTGAGCATCAATGTGAGGTTTTTCTATATATTTTCACTGAAAATATATTCATATAGGGTTGCCACTTTTATCTAACTCTTTTTTTAATTTAACTATTTTAAAACAAGAAATCACGCACATGCTGCGTATAAGATTATATTTTTAGTTTTTAATTTAAGAGTTGCCATGTTTTTAATAAAAAAAATATTACTAACACCAAAATTGAATTATAATAAACTGCAAATATGAAAAATAGCGAAAAGAGATATATGTAAATATATAAATATGAAAAACTTTATAAACGCATAGGGTTGCCACTGTTAATTCTCATCTCACCAAAAAGGTACCTTCGGCATAAATGTTTATTTGAAGTTACTTCAGTCCAGATTAAACAAACAAAAAAAAAAAAAAATATTAACTTCGGCAGCTATATGTCATAGTGAACCGATCTGAACCATTTCTTCGAAGATATCCTTAGATAATAATCTATGCCAAATTTCTTGTTGATATCTCTTCAAATGAAAAAGTTTGCCAAACAAGCACTTGATTCCGATAGTTCAGTTTGTATGGCAGCTATTTGCTATAGTGGTCCGATATCTGTGGTTCCAAAAAGCAGCTTTTTGAAGAGAAAAGAACGTGTGCAAAATTTCAGATCGATATCTCAATACACACAGACGGACAGACGGACGGACACGGCTAAATCAACTCAGCTCATCATGCCGAACATTTATGTATATTTTTTATGGGGTCTCTAACGTTTCCTTCTAGGCGTTACAAACTTCATGGCAAACGCAATCTCCTTGACTTACCTTTTTTGTTCCTGCTTCAGAGTGTCTTCAAAGCGCCAATATGTAGTTATGTGCATTTATTAGTTGCAAGGACCGCATCCAATATCGTCTACTGCGTCAATC